AAAAACAGGACACTTCTTGAACAGAACAATGATCACAAAAGGCTCATCACGGCACAACAAAGCTGACATTCAACAGTTTTTGACAACAAAATAAGGAGTTCAGCACCTTCCAACTTTGCTCCAGCATTGTAATAAATGCAACTACAGTATATCATATAATATCCATTATTGATGTCATTTCGTTTGGATAAACTGCCTTTTATACCACTCTGGACATGGATGAATAAGAAATATAATGATACTAAAACCTTGTAAAAGAGAAAGTGAAAAATTAAAATTATACTTCATATAGCTTTGATAGTACCCAGCTCTCAAGAATGGCAATGAAGTGGTTTGTTAGGAAGAAAAAATACACTATAATAAATTAAATAATACCCAAGCCTATAAAAGTTTGATATAATTGTAAGGGAACTCACACATTTGATGTAGATAAAAGAAATACAACATGCATGAGCACTGAACAGTACAGCACAATTGCACAAGCACGAGTGAATACCAATGAATACCACAGAATCTCATAAACATCATAGAGCATCATGCTATATGACTTATTTATTTCCGAAAGTTCATTCAGTGAAATTCCCAGAATATTCAGTACCACTAAAAAATAAATATATAAGTAGCTGGCTTAGATGAATTTCCAGACTGTTTATTAAAATCTTATGCACCTGCTTTTATTAAACAGTAGACTAACATTTTCGATGTCTCTTATTGTGTTGGAATATTTCCAGATATTTTCATGCAGGGTCGGATCTTATGCCCTATCCTCTTTCATTTATACAAACCTTAACATAAACAAAAAGTACTCATCCATTAGCAACAGAAGTTCTGTTTGCTGGCAAGAATGTACTTTTCAAAAAAGAAACAATAAATAGTACAATTTCAGAAGTTTCAATTTCTGGTTTCTAATAGCAATTTAATAGTTAGCGAAGGAAATTAGCAATCCATTAGCAAAGGAAAACAGTTTCAATGCATTTTTGCATTTCAAACCTCCATCACATCGCCAATTGAAAATAAACAATATGCAATTGACTGATTTTAAGGCAACAAAATTTCTGGATCTTTCAATTCAATCAGACCTCAAATGGAATATTCATATAAATGAACTGAACACATAATTAAGTTCATTATGTAAAGCATTCAGAATTATTTCAAATTCAGTCAGCATTCATGCAGACTTGATCAGATTTGATCCATTTTGACCAGATATTCATTAAGTTTCCCTGAACCTATGAGCAAATGCCAAGTAGACACTCTTGTTTTTCTTCTTGACATAAATGTAGCTTCACTATGCATTGTGATATGTTGTGAATGATATGTTGAGCTCTTTTAGCTAGTTGTGGAAGGAATAGTGCCGATGGTATGGGTGACTATCTTGTTAGTAATATGAATATATTAAAAGATAATATTTTTAGTTCATTTGCCAATGCAAATAAGTTTTCTATAACTCATGAGTGAAATATCTAATTTTTAAATGTTGCAAACCTTTGTACTTTCATTCAACTATTTATGGTAAAAGGGTTCTGAAGCTCAAAACAATGAATACAGATTGTACTTTCCCCCTATTCATTAAGTAGAATTTTTGCTACTCTTTGATGAAAATAAATTAAATCAAATAATATAAACCTTGGAGGAAATAGACCCAATTCATATTTTTGCCAAAAGAACTTGACTTGCAAAAACCTGTTTACTGATAAAGATGATGGTAATCCACAATAAACAACTTCAAAATAAACTAAACATAAACAAATCAGGTGAATATTTCATTCATATTATCAAAATTTGGGTGAATATTTTAAATCCAAAAAATTTCAAAACATGAAAATAAAAGAAAGAATTTTGAGGAAAAACAATTTTCTTTTTTGGGGGTAAGATATTTTCTTATTTCCTCAAAGATCACATAACATTGCATAGACATCAGTAATGTATACTAATAAATAACTCAACATTTTCTTTGTCATTTTAATCAAAAGAATGAATGCTTCGAAATTTTAAAAAATGGTGTCCAAATCACATTCATAAACAAGTTTACAAAAATACTCAATGCATAGTGCACACATAATTGATCAAATTAAAAGTGTGTATAAATAAATGTGTACTATAAACAATAACTTACCTTTCTCCTTCATTGCTTCCACCGCATGAGGCACAGCTTCCCAAGGATGTGGAAGGTCAAGGAAAACAGCATCTGCTACCCCTTTCACATCTGGTCCAAAGCCTGTTTGGCACACATCTCTTTGCTGAACTGTTACATATTCTGATACAAGATGATCTTCAAATTCAGCACGAGCTACTTCAACTCTTTGTGCATGAAAATCAAATGTATAAAGATGTCCATGAGGTTTAATGCAACGAATCAGAGCGTGCGAGAGAGAGCCACTTCCAGTTCCTGGGAAAGTCAAGAGACATTAGCAAAGCAAGACATCAATAAAAAATCTATAAAAACCCTTTTGTTCAAAAACAAGAGCATCATAATCTAGGATCATCATAAAGATTCTTATCAGAATATGAATTAAAAGTGCAAAGATAAATAACACCAATCAATCAACATCAAAATGCTTTCAACTTTCCTATTAAATTTTCCTTATTTCAATGTTCATAAGCAACTCAATATTAATCTCTTGTCTTGATATTCTTTAAGGAAGAATATGAGACTGGCCACAGACCAGGCAAAAATCATGTTATAACTTTTCTCTAATATGGAGAAAAATTGAGCAATGTTTTAAGGTATAATTCAAAAGTAAATCCCATAATAATTATTTCCATCTTCATTACGCAATTCATACATTGTTAAATGTACAAATTAATGCATGCTAAGAAAATAAGAGTAACAATTACCTGACTCAAGAACAACAGAACCTGGCTTGAGTTCCAACTGAAACAATATAATACTTATGTCTGGAGTGTAGATAATTTGAGTACGATGAGGAAGTGTTAGGGTCCACAGCTCTGGAGTAGGATGCAAAACATATGCCCAACCCTTCGACAATGCTACTTTAGATCCAAATGTCTGTCCAATTAGGGATTTAACTTTTAAGGCCCCATATGGTGTTTGAAATACATTTTCTACCATTTCATTTTTCTTATTCTTAATCCTTTGTTCTACCTTGATAGCATGCATATTATTCACACTCAGATACAAGATAACTGTGTCACCTTGTTCTATCACCGATTTATAATTTGCAAAACTCATTTTCAGAATATTCTGAACACCTCACACTGATGATTCTACCCACCAAATCAATGGTTTGAGTCTAGAAGTAAGTGAAATAATGTCTTATTGAATTAATCAATTCTTCAGGAAACCAGCACTACGTACTAGCACAAAAGTCGATTTTATGAAACCTTTCGCAATTACACTTAACCTCAACTCGTATAACAATATCAACTTCCAGTATTTTAATGTTAGTAACAGCGACTTATTCTCTGCAGAAAATATTTAGTACGCAATGCAAATGACATGAATATGTTACAATATGGAAATCCAGAAAATTCAACGCATTACTCGAAAACTTTAGCCACGTTATTGGTTTTCGTAGTACCCGCTGAATCCACAACTGTACTCACGCCCTCTGCACATTACACTAAAACATCAACAAGTTGCTACATTATCTACTAGATAGCACATGCGAACCTACAAGATTCTAGACAAGCCCTCTAATTCTGATTTCGATTCGAAGTTCCTTCTTAAGCGCAAAAAAGTGAAATGGAGAAATTGAAAATAATTTTACGGATATGGCCTGGGAGAATGTATAATTTTCAATCTAACAAAATGTATAAGAAATAATAACAGAGAAGGGTATTTCGTCAACTACTTCTCTTCTCCCAGGCTCCTAGAAAGATTGTCGGAAGAGAACATTTTGGCTTGCGGAATTGTAAAATCACACAGAAAAGGTCCCCCAAACAATGTTGATGACAAATTATAAAAAAAGGGGAGATTCTGATGTGAGGGTGTTTTACAGGATTGTTATATTTGTTATGGCAGAACTCAAAGCCTGTGTAATTACTTTGATATTTCCATGTAACAGAATTGTCCACAGAGAACAAAACGTGATGGAACAACAAAATTGACCAGGGGTCTCTGGCAATTTCTGACTACATCATTTTTTATCTTTGCTAGGGTTTGACTCAGCTGATCATCTTCGGTCCCATTATGGATAAGACAGGTCTAAAAAGTAGAGATTCGATTGATTTGGAGCCGTGTAGACCCGTTTGTGAATGCGTGAGTAATATTCGGAGGTATTCACCAGGAAAAACTGTGATCTGTGGCATTGGGAAAAGTATCCTAGAAGAAATCACCTAAAAAGAAAACATGCCTAAAAGAAGGGAAAATGTGTGTTGATGAGCGTAGGTATTCATTAGCCTGCGTATATTGGCAAACGCGATCGATGCAAAATGTTAATCCATTAACGCCCAGCGTCTTCATTTGAGGACACACATTTTTTTCAACTCAAATTTACTTCTTTTGCAATACTTTGTGAATTTTATTTCTTCAATTGACGTAGACATCTTAAACGAAACATATAAGAATACCAAAAACTTCCAATGAAACATTTCTACTTCTCTTGTTCATGCTTTTTTGTAACAAATTTTGTCATTGGACACATTAACCTGTCGAACGAAATCTTTCTCTTTTCTCGCACTATACAAGGTAGCAAAACGCGATATCCTTTCTGAAAATATTACTTCTGATGATTTTTTTTAAATTGCAGTCCTTACAACGACTGTTCATAATTACTGATTCCGATGCTCAGTGTTCGGAATCAGATGCCTATTTCAGCCTCAATCACATGCAAAAACCTGAAATTCTCGTACTTACATTTACGTTTTATTTTCACTAATGCAGAACATTGCTTCTATAATGTCTGTTGATAAATAAAAAGTTCTGACCTAGTTTACATTTCGGATATGGGTGTTATTGGCATACATGGGTAATATGGACATATGCCCATCATCAAATTTCGCGCGGTTCCGTGTTCCGCATCCTAGCCAATCTCAATGGTGAGTGAATGTGCAGTTTCCTCGCGTCCGGAGCTGAAACACATCAGAGCAGATCTCGGGTCGGCATCTCGGGACATCTCGCGATCAGGAGCATCTGAGTCCTGATTCAGGACCGGGGGGTGAGTTGACTGAGAGAAAGAAATGCGCCGGGAAGTGTTATGTTTAGGTGACGAATTTCTACTATAAATGTTTCTTAAGTAATGGTTGTGAGTGCGTCTTAACTCTCGAGTAGTTGTAAAAATCGTCTGTGAATTGCACTGTTGTATGTTTTTAAGAAGCAGATATTTCGGGTTTACCGCAAATCGTCTTCGAGAACCTAATGACGCTCTTGTCATTTGAATCCTGATAAACCCTGTCTCTGACAGTTTGCCTTTGGAACGATTGCAGTAAATATTGCTTCACTGCATATTGTTATTCGGCGAAGACGTTTTTAATTGCAAAGATGACGACTGATGAAAGAACAATATTTGCCAAACTGGAAGCATTGAAGGAAATACGGTATGCCATTCATGTATTTGATGAATAATTTTGTTGATTTATTAAACATTTTGGATGAACATGAACGAAAGTAAAATAATGTGTAAATGAAATGTAATGTTGTAAACATTTCTTTTAAGTTCATTGTTTGTTATTTTAAATAACTTTTAATTCACATTTCTTAATCCCATTAAAATAGTAATTTAATAAAATGATGATTAATTTAATCAGATCAATTTCCATGACTAAATTTTTACATTTCAGTGCTTTTAAAGAGTAGTAAATAAAGGATATTCATAGTGTCGATTTCAGTATACCCTTGCTCATTTCAAAGCGGTGTGGAGATGCCCAAATGGGTACAAATACCTGGTTCTTTGAAATCCTCTTATTCTCCATTTGTTTTTGTTTTTTCTTGATAAAGACATTTTGCCCTTCAAATGTATATTAATTGTGAAAATATTGCAGAGCAAAAACTTTACAACTAGAAAAACTGAAACTGAGGATAATTCATGAAGTGGAAGCAACTGAGCAAGAAGAGAAATGTTTGTCTGAATACAAACAGGAAATGGATCTGTTAATGCAGGAGAAAATGGCACATGTTGAAGAGTTAAGGCAGATTCATGCAGATATTAATGCTGTATGTGGAAGTCAGTTGTTATTATTATATTCATATATTACACATCTAAATTTTTATCAAGAAGTATTGTTGTTCTAGATGGAAAATGTAATAAAACAATCCGAAGAATCTCGCAACAGGGCCTTAGACACAGCCAAGCGAATCCATGAAGAGTATAGGCCTTTGAAATTAGATATTGATAGAATGAGACGTGATTATCTTGGTCTGGAGAGGTTGCCTGAGCTGCATGAAGAGGAAGGCGACCTAATTACTCCAGAGTATGCCATTGTTATTGTATTTTCATTTTTCATGAACATACAAGTTTGTACAAAGTTGGCTTGTACATTTATTTTATTCTTGCTATATTTTTGTTCTGCCTTTTCTTACATGTACCTCCTTTACTAATCACTATTAAGTGCAATAATTGACGAGTTCTCACTACTTTATTTCTTCCAGCTATTTTGAAAAACATTTCAAATCTGATTGGAGACCTGAGCTTCGTGATGAGCCTACCCTCTCTGGCTTAGCATTGTCTCATCAAGGACCTACTTCAGCATTTCTTGCACCATCTCAACCACCTATTCCTTTAGTTCAGAATGCTTCAAAGCCTGAGCAACGTCCAATGCCTCCAGCACCAGGCCCCACACCAACATTTAGGTTAGAATGTATTAGATTATATGTATTTATTTAATAATTGTGTGTTCATTTATATTGGGATTCAAAACTGCCTACAGATCTCTGAAAGTCCACTACATCATGATACAATAATTTGTGTGTGATATTCTGTTCTTGTGAAATTTTAAGAGAGCTCCCATCAGGGAAGAAAAATTACATCTCCACAATGATGAAACTTGCATTACACTAGACCAGAGGCCAGCAGTGGAGTGCTATGGAGGGTAACTTTCCTTGTACCAAAGCAGTGACTGGGGAAACTATGAATGTAATGTACTTAGTGTTAGCTGTGCAACACAGTTTAATGGTTTTGTGTGCATTATTATGCTTTTGACATCTGATGCATCACATTTGTTCCTTAAGCATAAAAGTATTGTGCAAGAACAAAAATTTAGCATATTAATACACTTCCCACAATGACAAAACATCAATAAAAGTGTTAAGTGGTCAATCCATTTAATTGACAGCAGTGTTTGAATAGTCTCCAACTTTGTTTTGCAATGTTTGTTTGATAATATAAAAATAACAATGATTTCCATTTTACTTTTCTCAGTTGTTGTATCATCTTGGACTACAGAAGTTCACTTCATAGATCCAAGAGCAATTTTGAATCACTAAGGAAAGAAAATAACAATTAGTATATGTCTTGTATTACAACACACCATGGGTTTGAGCATGATATTTCATGATTTTAGACATGATAATATCATTTTACTAATGTGTTTAAGCTATGGTATAGCCAGATAGCTAGTTTAGTGAGTAACAACGTATAGCTGAGGAGACACAGTGTGACTAAATGACAAACTCACATATTACTCAGATGATAAATTCCTAACAATTTTGCTGAGAACAGTGGAGATTTGTAGGGCACACAAGTATTACATGGTGTAGCCATTCTTCCCTTCCAAAGGAGGGAATACTCAGGATTTGAGTACCATCAGGTATGCACAGAGGTTGATCAGGATTGAACTAGCTACTTTTACGAGGTATTGCCGGCTCAGGTATGTAAACAGTTTGGGCATTTATTAATGCCAAACCAAATTGTGGGGTTTGGTCAATGAGAAACACCTAGAAATTATTCACATTCATGTCACGAGCGTTGGGAAACTTGTATGTGAACCGTTTTACTCAATTTTTTCATTTTGTCAACTGGAGAATGTTCACAAGATACCAATATATTTACGTAGTTAGAATGCAAGAATTCAAAACTTCCTTTTTAAGAAGTATTATTTACATGTTTAATTAAAATCTGGTCTTTTGCGAGTTAAATTAGAATGCATGATGAATCATGACCTCTTTGAAATTTGGTGTTATGTATAGCTTGTCCATTTAGAACCATTCGATGACAATTCACATGCATACATATTCTCATCTGCTTTTGATGATTTGTATGAATTATTACAATATTCCTTTTAGTGACAATGTAAATGGTGGTATCTAGTGCTAACCTTCAACTAAACACATTGAATGGACAGTGAGGCATTAACAACTGGTCCTCCACCCCATAAGGCTGGTAGAACAATGTATTGCTGAGAGCTGTGCTGTCTTCAGCAATGCTAAACTATTTTTAGAAACTAAAAAAAATCATCTGGCCTGAACAAGAGCCCAGTATGCACACCAATTCACAGAAAAATTGAATTGTGCATGCACTGATTATGGGTTTGGTTCAGGTAAAGCATCCAGTTTTTGTTCATTCAGCATTACAGATAGCAAGGACAGGTTTTGTAAAATCGTTAAGTGAGAGTAAAGTCAGTTACTTACAACTTTTTAGAATTTTACCCATTACTGTTAATGGTGATGCCAACCTGGATGGCCGAGGTGGCTAGAGCATGGGCTGACTTAGCGCCTCAGACTAAAAGGTCACAGGTTCAAGTCCTGCTGTGAACATGGTTTTTTGTCCCTTGTCTTTCAGGTATATGTGTTGTCGTGGAATGTCTTGAGTGTCAGCTGACCACTGTCCGACAAGCCCGCAAGTGTGCCAATGTCTAGTGTCATGGTTGATATGTGTTCCCATGAGGGATGTAGTGGGTATCTGGCACAGATACTTGAAATCAGCATCCCCTGAAGTTGGAAAAGCTTTTGTGAGGGTCACATAATTATTTAGGCGTGGCCAAGCAAGTTACAGTGCTTTCAGGGTGGAGAGAGTGTATTCAAAATGCTCAAAATTAGTGTTTCATAATTTATAGACAGCCCCTAAGACAAAACTGCCAAACACTTGTATTCTGGATTATGTGAAGGGAAGATGCATAGATCAGGGTATAATTTCATTTCAGGTAGCTGGTAGGATATAAATAAGTGAATGGGTGTAAATAGTAAATGGTTTCAACATATTCTCTTTCTTATATAATAAAATCTGTCTGAACCAGAACCTGGAAACCTGCCTTACTGCCTTGACCGGCAAATTAGTAGTACAAAACAGACCCTTTCCATCGCGGAAACAGAATGATTTTTAATGTCCTGCAGGGGGGAGAAAATCTTCAAAAAAATGGATTTTTCTATTAATTTAATGTAATTGGCAGAGAGACGTGCGATGTTCTTATTGAAATGAATGCATCTGCAAGCCTGTTTTAAATTTTCTACCCCTGTGATGCGATTTTTACTTCGATTTATTTACAGACATTTGATCAGCTATCAAAGTATAGTTGTCAACAGCAGAACATCGAAGGAGAGGGGCTTCAGTTATCCGTATAGAATTTGTTCTTGGAGTCGCTTGTCTCTCAAGGCGTAGGCTGTAGGGGAATTCCCTCTCTCCCAACTTTCTGACCTTAAGAAGGTACAGACATGGCTTCTATTCATACCTCTTTCTGCCCTGGTTTAAAAATCACAACTCTGCTACTAGATACGTATTGCTCAAGTCCTGGGTGGATATGGCACTCATATTTTGCAGAAGGTTTGTCTTTAGCGAAGTGAGGATACCAAATCGCAGTGTTAAATTCAACTATTAAGAAATTCTGAAACTTCTTTAAGTGAAGGAATACAGATTCACACACATCAGAATGTATCTACAAATCTGGGAATCAAACCTTGGTTTCCAAAACGCCCACTAGACCCAGTGAAGACTGCTAGCCTACCAGCACATCTGCCATATTTATCTTGTCATTATACTACATTCTATTATGAAGAACTTAATGCATTTTCAAAAGTTATTGTTTATTAACATTTCTTATGTTATTGTTTCTTTTACTCCCAAATATCTTAAATCACATAGTTAGTGTGATTGCCAAACAAATATAGCAACAGCTAGTCAGGAAAAAGATGGCTATACTCTTTGAACTCATCATCAATATCTTTATTATTATTATTATTATTATTATTATTATTATATAAAGAATAATAAATAAAAAGGGGAAAAATACTAATAAAGTGAAAAATAGTTTTTGATCTCTGTGTAATACTGTTTCTCAATGTTTATAGGCAACAGCCACCCCCAATGAAGTCTTGTCTTTCTTGTCATCAACAAATACATCGTAATGCACCAATATGCCCATTATGCAAAGCAAAATCTCGTAGTCGAAATCCGAAGAAACCGAAGAAGAAGGATTAAAATCGTGTGGAACTGCACTCAATATGAATATATATTGAATACCAATGAATATGAATTTTTGATGTCTCAGTACTCTTTCTGTGTTCTACATATTTCTTTCAAGAAAATGAAACAAGCTTATTAAGTGTTTTATCCTGCATCATTTTATACTGGATGTATTTCTTAAACTATGTGCATTGAAAATATCAGTGTAATTGTGTCTTAGTCGAAGTGTATAATAATGTTATGTGGAAGCCTTCAGATTTAAACCGAATGTCATGTGTCCATATTTTATTGGCATGCTATAATAGTTGGCATTATAAGTTTTTATATACTTTTTTTATTTGCTTATATCATTTGTAGTGTTGTAATCCTTTTAATGTGTGAATTATTGCTATGAGGTGAATATGATTTTTACAAAATTGTTTTATTAATGCATTAAATATGACATTTCTATTATATTTTGAGATGGTTTATTGTCAGTTGCTGTTTAAGAAAATAAGACTCACAAACCCTATTTAATTTGGGGAAAGCATATTGTGGTGATTTCTGTCACAGTGTCACACTAGAAGCATCCCAATTGTTTACAAACACCCTTGGTAATTAAACATAAGCTCTCCATAATAGGCTGTCTAGCACTACACTACTCTAGCAACTTTTTGACTGGAAAAGCCTGCGAGGTTAAAGCTCACCGGAAGAGAAATTTATTTATTCTCTTTGGGTTGTGTGAATCATGTCCCATATGGAAAGCATTATTGCTTCAGCTGGAAGGATTATTTTTGAATTACTTTATGAACAAAAACAACCAGAATTGGAGAAAACAGAGAACATATGTTTCCTTGATTCATTAAAGGTAATACAGAAGGGAAATTTTCAGTACTGCAAATACGTTAAAAAAATTATTAGCTAGTACCCAGCTCATGGCTGCTGCAGAAGAAATAATTGTGGAAATAACATTTGAAATTTGAAAAGAGTTGTCTTGTACTTTTTCTTATTTAAGAGTTAACTAATCCCCCCTCTCTCTTTTTCCCTCCTCCGCTCCCTCTCTCTTCTACCTCTCTCTTTTTTCCCTTTCTCCCCTCTTTCCCTCCTTTCCCACTCTCCTTATTTCCTCTGACTTTTTTCCTTCTTTTTCTATCTGTCTTTTTCCCTCTCCTCTCTCTCCACCCACACCTCCTGTCCTCTGCCTCAAGCCACGTCACATGGAGACCTCAGCAACAATGAAGTTCAGGTGTATTGGGAATTGCATTTAACTCTTAACTGGTGCACCGGAGTCCTGGAAACATTTCATAATTTCTTTTGCTTCAAAATTTTGCCGCAATCAGTTCTACCCAACCAGAGTCCCATGTAAATTCACTTCAGTGTTCTCAGTAACCTGTCTAATGTTTGCCCACATTCTGATTAGTGCTCCGGTGGCCTGCTGTAAAATTATATATTTGTAGGTAACGGTAAGGGCAGACCTGCAGACCCTGGGGCTCCATTAGTGGAAGTATTTGGGCTATAATCTACTTTGTTGCATACACAATCATTATTAGGAAAACACTAATTTCTTGTGAAAAGTGTCTTATACCATTATGTAATGGTTGTATTACACAATCTGCATACATTGCTTTGATTGAACATAATGAATCTTTCAAATTATGGTATATATAAAAATATTACCACTGCTCTTCATTATTACAACCGATATACCAACAATAAAAATATATATCAAAGTTTACCACCAAACCAACAATATAAATATAATCCATACAAGAAATAATCCCCATCCAACAATGTACATTTCATATTAATTTTTATAAACATTTGACGATGTTTTCAATGTCCATACAGTTTTTACTTTGTTGTATAAATATGTTGTGCGTTCCAAACTTCATGCAATTACTTTTTTATTTTATTTAAGGCATTGTCATAACAACCACAATAATAGACTAATAATAATAAAATTTCCCTTAGGAAGTAGAGATGATCGGAACGTAAGACCAGCTCTTCAATATCATTATTATATAATTTTTATTTTTAAATTTCTAAATAATAAAAAATCTCAATAAATATTTTCCCCGAGTCATTAAAAGCTACTAAAATACAGTACAAAATGGCATATTCTTGTATATTTCACTCCAGCTAAAGCTTAATTTTAAGTCAGGGTCCCCAGGACCCTGGTGCTCCACTTGTAATGAAAAAAGGTCTTCTTTTAAGGGCTAAATGAAACATCATCATATGCTGCAGCACCATCTAGTGAAGTTACAATAATTGTACTATGCCTATCACCTTCCCACAAGTTGGCAAAGTTTTATCCCAATCAGATGAACGGTACAGTAGCACATTAAGCAAGACCCAACAAACATTAATTTTTATATATTAGATATTGATGTGCACATCTAACAAAACTTTTTCATCATAAAGGTAAACCAAAGATTGTTGGCTCATGGCCTTACTATAATTATGTGTTATAAGCAGAGCGGAATTAACCAGTGAGCACGTTAGGCAGCTAGAATTTTTGTTGTAGGAAGACTGAAAAAAATTCAAAATTTTAAATTTTTCAAAAAATTAGTTCTCAACGAAAATTATAGTTGCACCGTTTTCTAAAACGTCCTTCACACTATCCAACAAAATTTAATCAAAAATGATGGAGCCTTTGAAAATTTGGAAAATGTCCCGGGGTCTTCATGTAAAGTACCCGCCCCCATCCCCAATTATTATTATTATTATTATTATTATTATTATTATTATTATTATTATTAACTTGATTGGCCACATTGGACCACTTGAGTCGTTCCACTTCATTTTTTCTTCGAAGGTTGTACTGCTCGGTTCTTGAGTTCTGCCCAGTACTGCAATCCCCAATTAATATATCGGTTTCAAATTCAAGGGCAGCCCGATCGATTGGGGAATATCAATTTTGGATAAAATCTGTAATACGGTTTAGCCGCTAGCATTGTTCACAGATGGACAGATGCGTTTTGCCGTTAATAGGTTTTTTGGTATCAAGCTCCCACCATATATTGACTCTGACTTCACCATGAGGATTTTTTTTAATTAGCAACTGGATTTATCCAGTTGTTTTTGTTACCAGGGCTCTTTAATAACAGTTTTTTCTACGCCACTTTTTCGCGCACCATTACATAACTTTTCTCTATTGCGTAAGCGGTAGCGAGAAAGTAAAATCAAAAGCAGTGGTGCCAAGACAGCACATACTTCACACACACACACATATACAAATGGATGTTCTTATACTCCAGAGCAGTGAACTTCGACACTGTGTGAACGATATCCATGAAAATTGGCACATCTACGTGTTTTTTCACCCAGACGGTTTTTGTGCTGTTAATTTTGTTATAGCTTTACTAGATGGCGTTGCAGAAAAAATTGCGGTTTTTAATACAATTTCCATTCAAACTGCGCTCCACCGGGCGTCATTGCTGCGTTGCCGTAGGAGTGACGTAGTGCGATGCCCATGACAACCGGCCCATCCGTTCATACGCCTCTGTGAGTAGTATATAACAATAAGTTACAAAGTCATCTGCATACTGTGAGGATTTAAGTATAATGAGCTATTTATGTCAAATATGCATCAATTTTAATATTAACAAATTGAGAAAAAATAATAAAAAGTCATTAGCATACTAGACGAAGTCAAAATATGCAGCATTAAATGAAAACCAAGTCCAAACATGATATATGCATGGATTTAAAAAAAAAACTCAAAAAATGCAAACATGCACAAAAAACACCCATTTTTCAAATGCGTTTGTACTGAAGCGTGTATTTACAATGGTATAGAACTCTAAGAAGGTTAAATAAAAACATGCATTTGCATGGAAATCCTGTCTCAACTTCCAAAGTATCTCGAAAAGTGATTTTTTTCTGTGAAAATGAGCTCAAAATTCCGGTTTTGAGAAACACTCGAACGACTTTTTTCCCCCTTCTTTCTTTCAAAAAGTCTTCAAATATTTCTTTACTCTTTTTGTATGGATAATATACGGAGTAATATATAAAATATAAGTAACATGATATTAATAACATTTTTATTTATTCTTTTAATTTTTTCAAACTTACACAAATATAATTGCTTTGAATATATCTTGTGTAGTTAATATTTATGTTAGACGATTCTATACTTTATTGCATTTTTTATTAGAAGTGCTTCATAGTTTTTTACCAAATACTTGAAAAGACGGGAAATGATACATTACGAGTGAAACATTTCCAGCCTAAGCGGTAGTACTCGTAGGATCCGATATAACATTTCCGTTCGCCTGTCGTAACACGTTTTGCTTCATACTTCGAAGCATTTCTTTCCTTTTATCTTAATTTCGTATTGCAATATTTCGTAATTTACGAGTACCAGTAAAGAATTCCCCAAGGCGTTAGAACCCTCTAGACAATTGATACGTAAAAAACAATTGCATTGCTCTCAACATTTTGAAATGGAATTGAAAGGTAAAGAAATGCCATCAAAAACTAATAGATAAATCCACTTAAGCAATTGAACAATAGTGACACGTAAGTCGAAATAAAATATAAAAAAGAATACGAGCAATTTTATTCCTGAAAAATACGAACATGAATATGGTTAATGAGGATGTAATGTTGGCTTACTTATCTGATTTGGTAAGTGGTTTCTATTTCTGGTACTCTACATTTAATGTATTTTGGAACTGATCATAGCAATTTTGTTTCAGTCCAAGAACGTGAATTCCGCTTCCTTAAGGTCAAAATATTCCACGTTTAAATCCATCTTTTTGGTTTATTGTAATACATACGTTTCCAAGTTTTATAAATTGACAGCGTTTCTTTAAGGAAAAGACGGTTGGATATCAGCAGACACAATCGAAAACAGACGAATACATTTGTTGAGGGAAGCACGTCATCGCTTGCATCTTTAACCAGCGGTTGTTGCCACAAATAGAATTGCTGGAGATATCGACCAGAATAATTGTATTCCGTGTCAATCAATGATGTAGAAGATGCAGACATACATGGTGACCATATGACAATCAAAAACACACCGAAAAAGAATGTCCAGTGTCATCGATGAGGGAAATAGGATTGCATTCTTTGCAGTTCTTTGCTACATTCGAGGAAGAAATTTAAAGAAAAAATTTTAGGCGTTTTTGAGAAAATGATTGATTAAAATTACTAAATAAATTTAAAATTATTCCAAAATTGCATGTTTCAACCAAAATTAGGTAAAAATTGAACATGGCTTTATTTGAACATATGTTACTGATGAACACATTTCATTTAGAAAAAAATTATCTTCATATTTGTAGTTGTAGGAAGTCGCCGAAAAAACTTTAGGCGGGGCAACGAAAATGTGATATACTCTATTTATTTTCCAAGCATCTTTTACTCTATCGGAGGAAAAATTTAAAAAAAAAACGAATTAAGAGATTTTCGAGAATATGTTGAAAATGATTTTGCGGCTTCTTGTATAGTACCTCCTAAAATCAAAATATCCGTTTCAATTTCAAACGGCCGTGCCATCTGTCAGACAGATTAGTGAATATCAATTTTGGTGAAAATTCTGCTTATGTTTTGCCACTAGACTAGACAATTAGCCGGTTCATGGACAGACAGACGTTTTGTCGTCAATCGATTTTTCGGTTTCAAGGTCCCACTAAATGTGGATTCTTGTTAATTTACTTGTTTTAACTTTATTTAATGCTCAAAATGGACTTACAATGAAAAATAACTTTAGAGATATTCGTAACAAAGAAAATCCGAACACGCATTGGCTAGACTTTTCAACCCAACCTTTCACAAGTCCATTACTTCAAATACACTCTTCCAGAAGGCATTATCTGTCTATTTTTTTCTTTTCATATTAACTATATCCCCAAAAGTTTAAAAAAATCAAATTGGCAAAAATAAACAAAATAGTTTCTATTTAACACATTGTGGACATAATCTCCTGCGCTCCAATCCTCTCACGTAGAATCTAGCTCTCTCCAGAGTTTAAGTCAGTAGATCAGCTACCTGGTTGGTCTTGTCGATATGCTCCAGTTCCAGATCCCCATCCAAAAATCTTTCCTTTGCATTGAAGTGGTGAAGTTCAAAGTGCATTGATCTGCGATAATATTCTGAATTACAGGAAGATTTACTGCACCGGCATTGTCGATACAGCGCCCAGGAGATTTTTCGATAATTTCCTGCAATTTAGACAGTAATCTTTCCAGCGAGATTAACTGCTTTCCTCCTTCACTTGGTATTATCTCAGCTTTTGTGGTCGACGTTGCCACAGACGGGTACATAATACAGCTCCATTACTGAAGGTTGCAATGACACCAGTCTTGTCTTCTTGTCATCGGCGTTGTCAACATCTCTGTAGACCGTTTCACAACCTTGTTCATCAACCATTTTTAAAAGAATTGTTGGCTTCATCGACCACCTTACGTTTTCCTCTATATTATACATCATACCATTGACGAACTAACGTTCCGGCTCGAATGGCTCGCAATGTGGGCGGGCCAAGGTAAAAGAGGGCCAACTTTTAGGCTGAATGTTTTGCGAATGCAAGAAATAGTAATTACTTGATACTTTCTGTGATACTTAACGTTACTTGATACAATGTAAGAATAAAAACAGCAACTTACAGAACGATTTTTCTGCTTTGATAGTTATTGTAATCCTGTTTTTAAATCAATAAAGGCAAGCAATTCACTTGGGTTTTATAACAGATTAAATGTCATAAAATTGAATAATAAAGGCAATTTTTTCTCACTATTGTCTATTAATCATAGGCCGATGACTTCAAATCTGTTAAAGAACATTTTTGTTATTGAAGGTAACACTACTTGTGTTCTCTGAATACTTTAACAAAGGGGGTCCGGATAAAAGTTTTGCGGTCGGGCCCGCACTCATTTAGTGTCGCTACTGCATACATAAGCATAACAAAAAGGATTGTACATGAATGTCCTAAAGATAACAATTTCGAAGAGCAATACTTTGATTTTCATAATAGTTTACTCTCACTAAGAGCTTACTTCCATTAAGTGTTTCTTGCTGATCTCCATTATTGTTCAATTGTGACAAAATGTTGAGCGTATGTAACTGGCTACATTTCTCCTGTGCGTATTACACGGTGTACTTTTTTCTGATTCAAAGCAACATAACACATATTAATATATTACGCAGTAGATTATCGTTGTGAATACATAGTTTTTTGTTGTTGTTTTTCAGATTTTTGTAAACATCCTAAGTTGTTTCGTAGCTAGGTTCTGGAGTTGTGCAATAAACATGAAATTAATAGTTTTAAATATAATTGGTATAATAATATCGCAATGGAGACTTTAAGCATGAAGTGCAATTTATTTTAATCTTTGACGATATCCGTCCGCGGGGCTTTAT